ATTCGCAGCTTAATTGACAGCAACCGAAGTACTACTGGAGTAGAACCATCTGCAGCCACCATCCCACAGCACCTATCGGACGCCTATCGGCAAAAGTTCCTTATAAGGCCACGCTGTCCCGTTACCATGGCGAAAACGTCCGCACACTAAGACAAACAGGTCAGCAGGCTGCACTCGCACGCACCTTAGACACACTGGGTGTTGATGTGTGTTGTGTGTCCGAAACTAGGATTAATGACCCTGACGAGGTTATTGAATTGACTGCACCCGTCTTATCCTCTCGTTATTGGTTGCACGCATCCGGAGACGCCGATGCGGCACTCACGGGTCAAGGTGGTGTAGGTATCATTCTAAGCTGCAACGCTATGCCATCGTTGGTTGGTTGGATTCCGGTGAACAGCCGTTTATGTGCAGCCCGTTTGACGACATCAGCTAAGGTGAATTCGCGAAGTAAAACAAAACGCTGTTTGTTTGTGATTTCTGCTTATGCTCCCACCGACTGCAGTTCAGATGTTCTCAAGGACACTTTCTATCACGAACCGAAGGCGCTACTACGCAGTGCTACTAGCTCAGATATTGTAGTACTTGCAGGGGATATGAGCGCACAAGTAGGGCGTCTGAGCTCTTCAGAAGCTCAGCTGGGTGGTAAGTATGGACTTAACGCCGAACGGACTGACAACGGCGAGCGTCTGCTGCAACTGTGTGCGGAGCACCAGTTGTTTCTTAGTAGCACTGCTTTTAGACACAGTGGGCGCCGAAGTGCCACTTGGCGTCCGCCTGTAGCTGGTCAGCGATGGACCCAAATTGACCACATAGCCATAAGTTACAGGTGGCGCGGTTCCATTCTGGATTGCCGCTCATACTGGAGTACCTGTGTCGACTCTGACCATGCCTTGGTGCGCTGTCGTTTCTCCATGAACTTTACCGGAAGGCGCACAAAGCGTCTCCCCCGATTGGCAACGGAGCAATTGTCCCAGCCCTCTGTCAGGCAAGCCTATCAAGAAGCACTGCATAGCGAACTCTCGCTGTCTTGTCCTAATGACACTGAACTTCAGTGGAATAGGATCTCGGCCGCTATGCACGACGCAGGAGCATCTGCTTGTGGCACTATCAGTCGTCATCGCACCAGTCACTGGATATCCGAGAGGTCCGTGAACCTTTTGGAAGCTAGAAGGCACCTCCCGGCTGGTTCTGAACACAATGTGACCAGACGGGCTATTAGGCGTGAACTAAAGCGGAGCCTACGTGCTGACAAGGAAGCCTGGTGGACCAGTCGGGCTCAAGAAATGGAGGAGGCAGGAGCAGTAGGCAATTACCGCAAGCTCTTCCAGCTAATCCGCACCACTGGTCCGAGGAAACCAGGCGTCAGTGAGACAATCAGGGACAGCGCGGGTGCGCTGATACACAATAAGGAGTGCCGTATGGCTCGTTGGGCTGAACACTTTGAAGATCAGTTCAGCTGGCCCCCTGCTCCCGGACCTCTTCCTACTCAGGTGATGCAGGACGAGCCATGGACGGTTAGTTTAGAGCCCCCGTCGGAGGCCGAGGTCCGAAACGCGATCACAGCCCTCAATCGTTTTCGTGCCGCTGGCCCGGATTCCCTACCACCTGCACTATTTAAGGATGGAGGTGAGGTCCCCTGCAAAGCACTGACCTCCCTATTCGAACGTATCTGGAACGAAGAGAGTGTGCCGGCTAATTGGAGCAAATCGATTATAGTGGCAATATACAAAAAGGGCAGTCGCACAGACTGTGCGAACCACAGGGGTATTAGCCTAACGCCAGTTGTGACAAAATTACTGGCCTCGATTATCGTTCGTCGTCTCACTGCAGAACGGGAATCTCGGATTAGAGAAGAGCAGGCCGGTTTTCGCCCAGGACGTGGCTGTATAGACCATATATTTACTTTGCGGCAGGTGCTAGAGCAACGCCACGCATACCGCAGACCGACAATAGCTGTGTTCCTCGATTTCAAGAGTGCGTTCGATTCAGTCGATCGATCGATTCTGTTCGAAATACTTGCGCGAAAAGGTGTTCCCACGAAATATGTGAACATCCTTCGTGCTCTATATTCGAACACTAGAGGCCGCGTCAGGGTCTATGGTGCCCTATCGGATAGCTTTTCGACTACAAGTGGCGTTCGACAGGGTTGCCCGATTTCCCCGTTTTTGTTCAATTTCGTAGTGGATTCTATCATGGAGTGTTCCCTTGCGGAATCTCACGATGTAGGTGTTGAAGTGCTGCCTGGTGAACGGTTAGTTGATCTAGATTATGCGGACGATATCGTCTTGCTTTTCGACAATGTTGAGGCGGCACAATCAACCCTGAATAGCCTATCCAGAGTGGTCCCATTATTTGGTATGCACTTCGCACCTTCAAAGTGCAAAGTGTTGCTGCAGGACCACCAGCCACTCGATGACCCCTTGACGCTTGCTAACGAGGAACTCGATGTGGTTGATCAATTCACTTATCTTGGCAGCTGCATCAGCAATGATGGGAGCATAGAAACTGACGTGAGCTCACGCATTGCAAAGGCCAGAGCTGCCTTCTTGAACCTGCGTCATCTTTGGCGACAGAAGGGAGTTTCCCTCCGTCTGAAAGGCCGTGTATACAAGGCCACAGTGAGGGCCGTTCTGCTTTATAGCAGTGAGACTTGGCCCCTTTGGTCTGAAGATCTGAGGCGCCTTCAAGTCTTTGATCATCGTTGTTTGCGAAGCATTGCTGGTGTCGGATGGCACCAGCGTGTCCGCAACGATGATGTGCGTAGACGAGTACTAGGTGGTGATGATCATGCTAGCTCGCTAGAACAACAGATAGCACTGAATAAGTTACGTTGGCTCGGGCACGTGCTACGCATGCCTGGTCACCGCTTACCTAGGAGGGCCTTGTTCAGTCTACCAGGTGTCGGATGGCGCAAGGCTCGAGGTGGACAGAAGTTGACTTGGCAGCGGGAAATGAAGTCACTGACGACCAAACTGGGTGCCGTTGGTCCGTCTCGCCTTCCGGGTTGGAGCCCACGTGACTCACCTTGTGCTTGGCTCGAGACTTTACAGGACATGGCTCGCAACCGACACCAGTGGCGCGTCTGCTGCCGTCTCCTAATTGGATTGTCTGTTTAAAGTGTGTTTGGTGCTGAGTTATCTGCGGGGTAATGGCTGATTATGACGCGTGGCAGTGAAAGCCGCAAGGAAGCTGTCTCGCCGATGCCGCCTTATCTTTGCACCATAGCCAGCTGTTTGTGACGGAATGTTGTTAACACAAGGTGTAGGCGCCTTGACCCTGAATGTTTGCTTAGGGCATTAAGGTTTTCAGGTAAGTCCCCCTTCTCTCCCTCTTCTTATTCTTTATTTCATAAGTCCTCATGGTTGTATGGCAGCGAAGCATCAGTTCAAATGGCTGATGTATTGCTGTTGATGATGATGATGATGATGAGACACCCTGCTTGTGCGTTCATATCCCCTGCAAGTACTAGTATATCTGTACTAGTAGCGCTGCGTAGTAGCGCCTTCGGTTCGTGATAGAATGTGTCCTTGAGAACATCTGAACTGCAGTCGGTGGGAGCATAAGCGGAAATCACAAACAAACAGCCTTTTGTACTACTTCGTGAATCAATCTTGGATGATGTCGTCAAACGGGCTGCACATAAACGGCTGTTCACCGGAATCCAATCAACCAACGATGACTCAGCCTTGGAGCTTAGAATGATACCTACACCAGCTTGACCCGTTAGTGCTGCATCGGCGTCCCCGGATGCGTGCAACCAATAACAAGAGGATAAGCCGGGTGCAGTTAATTCAATAACCTCGTCAGGGTCATTGATCCTAGTTTCGGACACACAACACACATCAATACCCAGTGTGTCCAAGGTGCGTGCGAATGCAGCCTGTTGACCTGTTTGTCTTAGAGTGCGGACGTTGAATGTCGCCATGGAAACGGGACAGCATGGACTTATCAGGGACTTTTGCCGATAGGCGTCCGATAGGTGCTGTGGGATGGTGGCTGCAGATGGTTCTACTCCAGTAGCACTTCGGTTGCTGTCAATTAAGCTGCGAATTATAGAAGGAAGGTTAGTAATGGGGGCCGGGATGGGAGTAAGAGAGACAGGTGGAAAAGAAAGAAGGGAGGCGCCAGCAGTAGGATGTTTTCGCTTATCCGCCCTGCTGTATGCAGCAGATAAGGCGACCCTTGATAATCTGCGCGATAGGCGATGCAGGATGAAGTTTGTTTGAAGAAAATGTCATGGTTGTATGTGGGCTGAGATATTGCCAGGGCGCCCAGACCTAGACAGGAGGACGATTAGGGTCCTCATCCAAAGCCTTTGGCTCAGTAGCCTGTCTGCAAGGCAGCGGGGAGGTGGCAGTGATTTATTTTTACAGAAATGGACGCCATCCCATTTCAAACCCCCAACCTGGAGGACCAGGAGACTGAGTTTGTCTGACCTCTCACCACTGACCAACCTGGTAGGAGTAGCTCTCAAGGTGCCCGGAGGCACCACCCATTATAGCTCAATGGGTCCATGAGGTACGCAAACCGTCGCACCACGTTAAGGTGCAGTCTCGTTACGACGGAAAGAGTCTCAGCTAATTGTTTTTGATCGATCTCGTCAGTGTCGGAACACAATGTCCAGGGTGCAATTGCTGGCTCACAGACGCCCCTGCATTTTGCTTCTTACACCCCGCCGTTCATCTTTTCGCTTGATTATTTTCACTCCCCTTGTCTAATCTCTTTCGCTCTATCTTGCCCTGCATACCAACTCCTTTCTCTTTCAATGTTACTTATTTCCGTCATGGTGATGTGAGTCACAACAACTGGATCCACCCGTGTTCTGGCGATAGTCATCTTGCGAACATAATCTGGACTTCTTTTGCTGCTTCTGCTAACCCAGATCAAGTCTTTTAATCTTGAAAGTTAACTTTTTTCTTTATTTACCAGGCGCTTTCGTAAAATCTTCAGCCTCGCCGATATATTAATGGCCCTTCTATTTGATTTTCTCCCTATAGGTGCTCTTCATTGATGAGGTCCACATGCTTGACATCGAATGCTTTTCCTTCCTCAATCGGGCCCTCGAATCAGAGATGGCCCCCGTCCTCATTGTAGCGACAAATCGAGGCATTACCAGGTCGGTTTGTTTTGCTTTTGTTTAAGCATCTGTTGACCTACCCATTCTTTTGTTTGATAACAATCCCCCCAACTTTCGGCTAAGATCACTATCTTCAGCTGTAGCGCATCACGATGCTTCGTCATCGTACAGCAGTAATTTGCTTGAAACGGCTCTGCTCATAAAAGAACAAGCTATTGGGGAAATGGCACCTCACTTATATCCTAGACGCTTTGAATATTTATTCCATTTTACGCGCCCACGACTTACGAATATTGTGCCTTCATAATCAGCTAGTCACTCTGCGATAATAAAACGACATCGGTGAGGCGGTATTTCTGCAATTTTCACTCTCTTCACAAACAAACTTACTTCACATTTAGCAACGCTATGCACGTTTTGGACAGGCAGTGCGTCAGCGTGCTCCATGTCTTCTCTTGTTTTCGATCGAGCACGGAATAGGACGTGTGGCATGTAAAGGTGCCTTCTTCCTAAGGCGAACCAGTTATTGTCCCTATTTTTGAGATGGATACTCGCACTTCATACACTAATCACCGGGGGATTAGTCTCATTTCGCTTGCTTCCAAGCTATTGGCCTCTATTCTACTCCGTAGACTATCACCGATTCGTGAATCACTTTCCCTTGAGAAAAGTTGGTCTCCGTCCCGGCCGTGAGTGTGTAGATCAAATATTCACGCTTCGCCAAATCCTCGAACACCGCCCCATCTACGAGAGGCCCAACATCGTTGCTTTTTTAAACATCCATGCTGCATTCGACTCGGTTGATCGACCTACGCCATGGCGTTGCTTGCTAAAGCATTGGGTCCCAGAAAAGTCCACTGTCATTCTGCGTGCACTCTACATTCCTCCTGCAGGGTCAGTCTATGGCAAGCATTCGTCGTCCTTCGCTGTTCAGAAGTTGTGTACGACAGGGCTGCCCTATATCCCATTTCCTCTTCAATTTTGCGACTAAATACCTCCTTTCTAGAGCTTTGGAAGGTCACCAACATTTTGGTCTGCATCTACTATACCGGACAAGCAAGCGACCGACTTAGATTGTGCCGATGACATCTTGCTTGATGACGACTCACATAGTATGAAAACCATTTTAGACCGTTTGACGATGGAGGCATCTAGGTACGGAAGGTGCTTCGCCCTCTCGAAGCGTAAACTGTTGCTCTAGGATTGGCACTCGCCCATTCCCGTGCTCACTCACACAACTTAAACAAGCGGATGGCTTTGTCTATCTGGGCAGCTGCGTGTCTGCTGATAGTACCACTGAGAAGGATGTTACCTCCGCCTCGTCAAGAATCGCTCAGCGTTTCTCGACCTGAAACACTTGCGGCATCGTCCAGATGTCTCCCTTATGTTAAAGGGTCTCGTTTACAGTGCCACCCTTCACGCGCTATTGCTATATGGAAGCGAGTCGTGGCCAGCTCGAGTAGATTGCATGCACTGGCTCTCGTCCTTCCACGATGGGTGCTTGACGGTGTGCTAGAAACAACACATCTGCAGCAGTGGTCAGACCTGTCTTAAGGATGCGAATATGCCCACAACAAGCTCGTTTTGCTGCGTCAGCTAAGATGGCTCGGTCACGTTTTGTGTATGTCCGCTGAGCGTTTGCCCTGTTGCGCTCTTCTCCGTCGTGCAGGGCTTGCTGGTAGTGACCACGTGACGGTCAGCCGTCCACTTGGGGACAGCATATAAAATTTTGGAACTCACTTTTTGCTATTTTTGGATCCACAGGCCTGTCTGGTTGGGGACCAAAGGCCGAGGAGTGCTGATGGCTGGAAAGAATTCAGCATATGCTGCGCAATCGCAAGCAGGGGATGATTTGTGTGCATACTTGTTTAGATTCAGATGCTTAATGCTTAACAATTGAAAGAGACAAAAGGTGTAAAAACGACGTGTGATAAAATAACCAATGAGTTCCGTTCTTCTTGCGATACTTTAGCCGAAGCATGTTGCTCACCATTAGCTAATGTCTCATGATAATGCGGTCGTTAAATTTGTATTCTTCCACTGATGTAGCACTCGTGATGCTTCTTCACCGCAGTTGGGCTAAACCAACTTAAACTAGGTCTTTTTAATGTGCATGAAATTCATACCACTTTACTTGGTTTGTTCTGCGTACCTGATAATCTTCTCCTAACTTGCACATGTCGCTCATGCTAATTGTGGCTAACTTGCGTAACTTTATCACGTGGTATCTTTTAAATCACTTTCGGACATTTTGCACTTATGGCGGATTCGCTACTAACCAATTCACTCCATATGCTCATTTAGCCAGTATTTATGCCGTCATATACGTTTAAACTAGGTTAAACTAGGTTAAACCAACCTAAACTAGGTCTTTTTAATGTGCATGAAATTCATACCACTTTACTTGGTTTGTTCTGCGTCCTTGATAATCTTCTCCTTACTTGCACACGTCGCTCACGCAAATTGTGGTAAATTTGCTCAATTTTATCGCGTGGTATTTTTTAAATGACTTTCGGACATTTTGTACTTATCACGGATTCACTTATAACCGACTTCTTCTATATGCTCATTTAGCGAGTATCTATGTCGTCATATGCGTTTACTTTAATCGATATCAGCATTTCGAATCATTGGCTGTTGTTTGACATCCCAGGTGTGGCTGCGCTTGATGTGCATGTTGACAAGGTGCCTACCTGTCTATTACCCACTACCTCGTCCATATTGGCTCCAGGAGACAGTTGGTCGTTTCTGGAGGGGACGGGGTGCACGGTCCTTGTGGTCGTGCTGGGCTCGAAGAGTGGTTCCATGCACTCAGTGTGGAGCGGACTACGGTCCAGCCACCGCCTTGTGTGCGCTTGATTCCCCAAATACAGCGTGCTTGTGTTTGTCTGTGAAGGAGTGTGGGCCGGCTCCGTCGATGAAACGTGGCTCCCATCCACATGCCTCCCGGTCTTATTCCTTCGGGTTTACATTGGATATGGGGTGTGTGGTTGGAGCTGTGGGTGGTGCAGCGCAAGCCACCCGTGGTCCCTCTGTAGGCGCAGGCGTACTGTGGGTGGCCACAGTGACAGGCAAATCCGAAACCGGATGCCGCCAACCATATACGTTTAATTTATTCAATGTCTTTTATTTGATCTTGGCATCTCGAATGATTGGCTGTTGCTTGATATCCTCGGTGTGGCTGCGCTTGATGTGCACATTGACAAACTGCCTACCTGTCTATTACGCGATACTTCGTCCATACTTTCTCTAGGAGGCGGTTGCTCGTTGCTGTAGGGGAAGGGGTGCACGGTCCTTGTGGCCGTGCTACGCTCGAAGTGTGGTTCCATGCACTCAGTGTGGAGCGGACTACGGTCCAGCTACCGCCTTTTGTGCGATTTATTCCCAACTACAGCGTGCATGTGTTTGCCTGTGAAGGAGTGTGGGCCGGCTCCGTTACTGAAACGTGGCACCCATCCACATGCCTCCCAGTATTATTCATTCAGGTGTACACTGGATACGGGGTGTGTGGATGGGGCTGTGAGTGGTGCAGTGCAAGCCACCCATGGTCCCTCAGTATGCGCATTCGTCCTGTGGTTGGCCACAATGAAAGACAAGTCCGAAACCGGATGCCGCCACCCGTATATATATATATATATATATATATATAGCACCATGCGCTCGATGTCGATGGAGTACAACCTATCGGCTCTTGCCGCTTCTTATTTACATGCATGTGGCCTTCCTCCCGCACTTCGGCAACGGTCTTCCTGCTCAGATCGCGCCGTGCACGCCGATCAATCGCCTTCGATTCCCATGACCTGCAATCAAGGTTGGAATGTAAGAGGCTCACTTTGATCATGTCCTGGTAACGTAACTTTGGTTTCTCCACATGCCACTTCCCATACTCAGCTGACCATATAATAGTTGTTTCGGTATCCACGTCGAATCCATACGGCTCACAAGACCGAGCCATCTCAGGTGTCTCAGCAAGAGTATGCAGTCCATTGCATACATTCCACTTCGACGCAACACTTCCGTGTCCGCAACTCTCTCGCCCCATTCGATACGCATAATCCACCGCAAACACTGTTGACGGAATCGCTCGAGATATCGTATATCCCGCCGGTACATCTTCTACGTTTCACTGCCGTATAGAAGAACGGACAGCACCATGGATTTGTACACCATCAGCTTCGTGCCAATGGTAAGTTGATGGTTGTTCCACACTCGGTACTCAAGCTTCCCGAATGCTGCTGCTGCTTTCGAGACGCGGATACGCAGCTCACTGTGTAGCTGCTGATCAGTCGACATCACACTTCCAAGGTAGTCGAAGCGGGAGATGGTTTCCAATACTTCAGCACCAATGCTGATTCGCGGCATTATTGAAGATTGCACCTCCGGTTTAGGTTGAAAGAGACAGCAAGTTTTGTTTGTGTTGATGGTGAGCCCGTATTTGGCCGCTGTCGAAGCCGGAACACTAGTCATGTTCTGCAACTCATGCGCGCTGTGTGCAAACAACGCACAGTCGTCAGCAACATACGGATAGTTGTCTCAGAGCCTAGCGTTCTCGCATCGAAACGGCGGATGTTGAGCAATCCACCATCAATACGGTGCTCCACAGGAACACCGTAGGCACAAGCCGCATCAAAAGCACAAGGCATCAGTGCATGAAGATATATATTAAACAGGCCAGAGGCTAAGACACAGCCTTGCTTCACACCAGAGACAACTGCAAAGTCATCCGAGGTCTCTTCACTCAGCTGCACGCTCGCCCGCATACCACTGTGCAAACATTCAGTTAAGCTTAGAAACTTATTCGGACAACCAAACTTACCCAACACCAGCCACAATGTCTCGCGGTTCACCGTATCAAATGCCTTGGTGAAATCAACAAAAAGCGAGTACAATGGCTGGTGTCGTTCTCTGTACTTCTACTGCAACTGATGGGCCGCAAACACCATATCTATAGTGCTGCGACCCGAGCGGAATCCACACTACTCTACCGCCACGTTATTTTTCACAACCACACTGACGAGGCGGTTGAGCAAGATTCGGGC